ACGGAAACGATTTTATCGCCGGTATGAGATGAACGCGTTGCTGTTGCTTTCAATTATTTAGAAACGATCGCCGGCAGAAAGGTCGCCCGATCTTTTATGCTCGCCAATGGTATTTCAATCTGTTTTTCTGTTTTTTCTTTTTTTTTTTTTTCATTTCCAATCCTCTCCCGGATGGGAATTGCTTAGCGAACTGAAATTCATGCCCAAATGCTTGACTGTTAATGCGAAGAGTCGTACGAATGCGAACGTCTCTCGAAAGTATCGTCGGCCGTGACTTTAACGAACGAAGAACGGGACTTTGGTCCGACTATTCGCGAGGGTTGACACACTCTCTCCACGGTACCGTCGCTTTTTTTTTTTTTTTTTTCTTTTGTATTCCGCGCGCAACGCTTTCGAATGTTTCGCACGTATAAACGTAACGCGCGAGTGTGTCGAAATGAACGGCAGCGAATCATCACGTGCGAGAATCCTCAGTGCAATTCTTTCGGATTGATTAATACCCGGTCCACCCTTCAAAACTGTTTTACGACCCTTTCTCTTTCTCTCTCTCTTTCTCTCCCGGCGGGGCAACTCGTTTCGCGACGACAGACTCATCTCCGATTTTATGCCTCGTTTGAGGGCGCACCGGCTAACCCCTGCCTCTCCTTTGCCTGGCTCCCTTCAGGACAGGCCAGGGCGGAGACCCTCGTTGCAACGCCGCCACGAAAATCACAGACCACGAGACTCGCGGGGAATGCTCTATTTGGTATTTAAATAAGCGTACGTGTACGCTCGCCTGGTCCCGTAACCGTACGGGACAAGTTCACTGAACTTCTTTTCGGGAAAATCGGCCAGGGAAGACCCCGGCCCCTTCGATATTTATTTGGGGGAGGGGGAAAGGGTACGGTCAATTATGCTGCACGGCTGGTAAATATGCTGATCCACGTGACGCCGACCGTGTATTCAGAGATAAAAGCAATTGCGAGAGGCATAAGCCTTGTAACGCTGACACGTGCGACAACTCCCCCTCCCCCTCCCTCTTTAGGCCATTGTTTTAGACTGTGTTAGAAATATGTATATCGGAGCGATCAAATACAATACTTGAAACTAAAATGTTTATCGAGTCAAAAATATCGTGCATTTTGATATTCAAATATTCAATTCATTAGAATACCTATTTGGGACTACTTGACATACGGAGGACTGAAAATCGTTAGTCAGTTTGCTTTTACTTTTCGCAAGAACGTTGAGCATTTACCACTATAAAAAAAAAAAAAAAAAAGAAACTGTACCGAGCTTTCTCAAATCGCACGACAAAACGAAATCCCCGACTGAAAATCTTGCCTCAGTCTTGATTTAATCGAGCCCGTCACGTGCAAATCAAAAAGAAACTCACAAGATTGTTTCGCGAGGCAAAAAAATTACTCGACTTTGTGGTTTTTCTTTTCCCGACGACGATTAAAGTGGACACACACGTGCATGTAATTACACGGCGAAACGAAGAAAAGCGATAGACCGTACCAGCAGAGACTGTTGCTTTTGTTACAACGTTATCGCGTAGAGGTATAATTTTCGTGTCCGGCGGACGCGTGCTTCGAAAAGCGGGACAAATTCCTCGCGAGCGCGGAACACGGTCTTGCCTTTCCCTCGAAATGAGTTCCCGTTCCTGTTATGTTAAGAACTGGTAGGAAACGATGGAAACGGCAATGGAAGCAACGAGGCGAATCGCGAGAAGTTCGCCCACGTTGCTCGTTAAAAACGTAGCGATGAACAGATTGTGAGAGTTCGCGGAGCCGATCGATTCTTCGGTTTCTTGCGTGCGTCGCGCGGCGAAAAAAAAAAATTAGGGTAGCAGCGAGAGGAAAATAACGGGAGGCGGAAGGTTCCGTTGGGAAACAGAGGGAGAAACGATATCGCGCGAGTGGTTAATTCAGCGATCCCGTCGATAACGGAAGCCCTTGAAAATAAAGTTGCCAGCTTTTCTGAAGAGACACGACCGAGTCAATATTGTCTTGCCGTGCTAAGCGCGCCAAAGTACACCGTGAGAGAGCTGTACCGCGTGCAGGGAGCGAAACTTTATATATCTCAGTGCGTAGTTGTGAACAAACTTGACAGAATCCAACAATAAGGCGAAGTTCCGTCTCTTCGTTGCTCCGTTCTTCAGCCTCGACTAAAAATAAATACACGGCGAACCTCCCATCGGCGGAAAGAGGCACCGGCGTCGCCCGATTAGCCGCGGCGTCATTCTCAACGACGTGGAAAAAAGTAGCCTGAATCCTTAAATCCGTCGCCCGAAATATATTCGAAACGGAAGATTACAGAATGTTACTCGTGGAAGGTGCTTTGGTACGGATATAACCGTTAAACTATTTTTCAACCGTAATCTTTCATGCTGTACTTCTTTAACCCGATTCCGAGATACGAGAGCCACTGTTCTCTGAATTTTCTGGAGCACACGGCGCAAAAAAAAAAACGAACGTTTCACGGAGATTTCATTACTTATGATGCGAGGCAGCATCTTGAATGTGTGCGACTTTACTTTACGGCGAAAGATATTGAACCTCATTCGATAATACATCGTTTGCGCACCGTGCGTATATGAATACACGTTGTCGATATCGACACGAAGATCGTGCTGGTTGTTTTACTTGGAAATTTCTATTGGAAAAGTCTACTGGCCGTTAATAATTCTTAACTGTCGAGGCAAGTTCTTTTTTTTTTTTTTTCTTTTTTTCGACAAAGATGTTAATATCGTTTAACGACTCGAGCGTTACTCCGAGGCTGTAAATATCGCGCGCCAACCGCCGGCCGAGCTTAAAATCGAGCGTAATTCTGAAGAATTCACGCATTTTGTAATAATGTTGCTACAGTCGCGGAGTTTGTCGCGTTCTCCTCAAAATAGCAATAGAATCCGGCAAGACTTCTCCGAAGTATGTAACTTTCAGTGACTCGACTATGGCCAGGAATAAAGTCTCAAGTATCCGGTGCTCGGCTATAGCCATAGAACCCCCGCCGCGATAAAATCTAATGAGACGTCGGAAAACTCAAGAATCCCACCGAGAACGAAATTACAGATTCCCTATCCTATATTTTGTCCGTCTAACGTTCGGCGTCCAATCTTTTATTAACGTCCAGCCTGAAATCGATTTTTCAATTCTGCCTCGGACTCGATCGCATATCTCTCTCTCTCTCTCTCTCTCTCTATCTCTCTCTCTCTCTTTCGAGAAATGTTAATCCACGATATTGGTGTTTCGATCGATGCTCTCGGATCCGCGAAAAACTGTCTCGAAGATCCATTGAAAAGACGTTCAGTCAAAATAGAATCAAGGATATTGAAAATTTCATTCGTGAATGAGAGAGAAGCAGACTACGATTTATTTTTAATATACCCCGATTCCTTGTAAGCCCCAGATTATTCTATTGTTAAGTCTTTAATCTATTTACAGGGAGAGACGATTTGATTCGAGTTCCTTCCTTTTCGTCTTTCGGAAGTAACCGTAAATTGTTTAATGACTCTGATTCGGTTAGAGATGAACGGGAACTGAATCTATTTTCGCTAGAATTAAAATTCAATCTGGTAATAATTCTGGTTCGATTTTGTAATAGGCGTAAAAACTGCGATCCGATTGACAGACTGATATCTCACGGTATCTTTATCAAACGTATTATAGAAACGATGACGATTGCGTGAGCTGCAACTGCGTGTGTACGCGGAGCAATGTTTAAAGCAAACGTCGGATAAGCGTCGATTCGGGGAGGACCCGAAAAAAAAGGTTTGGCAAGGAATAACATTTACTCGGAGAAGGACGCGTCTTCGGCAAAGACGACGAGGTAAAAACAGAGGAGAGCAGAGGGAACACGCCCGCATGGATATATCGCTTTCCTTTGTCGAATGTTCTCCGTGCACGGCTGGCCGGCGTATATCATTCGCATTAGCCTCTTTACGATCGATTAATTCCTCGGTTGCGGGAACAAAACATCTCGCCGTGTGAACGATCTACAAAGTCGCCGGCGGCGCTCTGTCGACGGGCTTTGTCGACGCGTTTAGACGGCAAAGCCGCGCGATAAAAATACCGCCGTAAAAACTGCGATATCCCGCCGGACGATTAACGCTGGCGCTCGATCTCTTTCCGACTCCGGCGGCTTTCGTACCGCGAGCGCTCCTAACCCAACATAACCTAAACACACCGATTGGTTCGCTTTCAATCAAATCGGGGAAGCGGGGAGAATTCAGTCACGCTAGCGTGGTCGATAGTTTGGTTCGATGAATCGAAAGCCAAAACGATTTTAGCTGCAACTGCGAGCGAATTAGCACGAACAAGGCAACAAGCCTCTCTCTCTCTCTCTCTCTCTCTCTCTCTTCACGGGTAGCGAAGATGTCAATGGTCGTGTTTCCCGGTTTACACGGGTGCCGCGCGAATTATCGGTAGCTCCGCGAGGCTGCGATTCACGAATTAACGAGGCTGGCTCGCGCGCTAATGAAAACGTACAGTTAAATTAGCAGCCACGACCATTTGGGCGTACGCCAAACCTGGATAATTTACAAGTACAATAATTTCGGGGGCCCGAAGTTCAAGCCGAAGGGATTCAAGCGGAGAAGGTACTGGAGAGTCGACAGATTTGACGAGTCGCGGTGTTTGCAAAAACAGGCGTTTACTTACTTTTCGGGGAACAGCAGACGTGACACCGACGAACATCCGCGAATGTCAGCAGCCGGACAGCGATGCGACGATCAGCGACGATCCCTGGGTTGGTAGAAACAATATCTATGGCGGAGAAGGTCCAGGAGAGGTAGCCCAAACAAGGTAAACAAGCGACGAAAAGCACCAAAATAAACAGACGTTGATCGTTCACGTGACACACAGAGATACGCACTACCGCGAAATCCAGTGACCGATTCTCTTCCACGAATAAACAAAACACTGTGAACGTGCGGCGCGGCCGATCAACAACAACGTTCCTTTCGCTCTCGTTGCTTTTTGACTCCGTTCGCCTCGCGCTGTCCAGCGCGTGGACTCACCTTTTCACGTTGTTTTTTTCCCTCTTATGGACGACTCCGAAAACGCGGCGTACTCGAAAAACGGCTCGCTGGCTAGGCGAGGCACCGTTTGCCGCTATTTCGCCGTGTTTCCACCACCTGCCGCCAGAGTGCACCGCTTCGATTCTTGATCGCGCGCCGCTTCGACCGCTCGCATCGATCGTGTATCGACCGTCGAGAATGATGCAACACGACCGCGCACAGCCACCGCGAAGCGTACTTTTTTCTCGCGTGTTCTTCCGTCGCCGTGGAGTGGTGAAGAAACGATGGGAACGATGAACGACAACGACAACGACGACGACGACGACGAGAACGAGGACGACGGAGAAAAGACACGAAGGTAAGCGCCTGTCCGAGAGGAAAAATCGACGCGGCGAGTGATCGTGCACGAGTGCAGCGAGCGTCGAGAAGAGGTCGAGAGAGAGGAACGACCGACGCGGCGACGGTCGCGTGGTATCGATTCGTGGCCGTGGAAAGCCGGCGAGGCAGTCGAGATAGAGAGAGAGAAAGAGCGAGAGAGAGCTTTTTCTTCGCGTTCTCTCCCTCTTCTCCTCGCTCTCGCTCTCTCCGAGTCCTCTCTCTCTCTCTCCCCCTCCTTCCTCCCTCTCACCCTTCTTTGCGAACCTCGTGCGACGCGGTCACCGTACGTACCAGTCCCACAGTTCGAGAGTTGCCAATATATAACACCCCTTTCTCTCGTGCTTTCTCCCTCTCTCTCTCTCTCTCTCTCTCTCTCTCTTTCTCTCTCTTTTTCTTTCTGTTCTCTCCTGTATCCGTAAATCGTACGATCGAACGTCGCCTCCAACCGACGATCCTTGTATGCTGCGTATATTATTTACGACAGAGCGAGAGCGGTTCGTAATTTGTACGTGTGTATGTGTGTGTATGTGTGTGTGTGTGTGAGTGTGTGAGTGTGTGTTACGCTGACAACGGCGACAACGTGCGTACCGAGACGACGCGTACGTACTACGGAAGACAGACGCGTCTCCCTCGAACGTCCGGGTCGGACTGAGCGTGGCAGGGCAAACTGGAGACCCATGGAGTCGTTCGAGGTACCGACTACCCCCACCCGGAGGAGCCACGCTTCGGTTTTCCCAACCCTCGTCAACCGCCTTCCCCTCTCGAACCCCATCCGAACCTAGCGATGGCCATTCGATATTCTCTATGTCGCAAGTTTTCGTGCAATTTGCCAGTACGAATGTTCGAATCGCTTTCGAGAGCGCCAGTCAAGTTTAAGTCTCTCCAACGGATCCTCTCGATCCTACGTGAATTTAAAACAACCCGAAGCGTCTGCAAACGCTCGCCCTCCAAAGTCTGATCACTTTTCAAGCTCTGCTACGCGACGTGACGTTTCCTTTTTCATTCGCTTTTCTTATCCAGAGAAATTACATTACTGTTGTCGCAATGGAATTTGTAGGTCGTAGGTTTCACATTAAAGTGGATAGTTATCGTATTGGAATCGTTCCAATGTCTCGAAATCTTTGCAGTTTTGAAACAGTCTCGGCGTTTGCCGCGGCATATTCAAGCGACGCGATTTCGTGGACATTGTAAAGAAAAATGTTCACAACGCTAAAGTTGTTCAAACTCGAACTCGCTCCAATCTGTCGCTATCTGGCACCCTTCTCTTTTACTCCAGCTTTTGCTTTCGTCTCCCCCTCTCTCTCTATCTCACGATCTTGCCATTCCTACCTACATTTCCCTACCCTCGCGCGTTGCTTCGTCTCACCCTCTCTCGCTGTTACTCTCTCGAACAGCGGCGTACACCCTCGGAGCTGGCTCTCCTCCTCTCTTCTCTACCGACCGTACTTCATCCTGTACCCTTCCTTCAGTCCTCGTCGCGGCACCTTTCGCCCCCCCCTTACTTCGGGGGTTTAAGGCCCGTTCAGCCTCAGTGTTGCCAATTTAGCGAAAGCGCCACTCTTGACAGTGGATCAATCTTTTTATTGATTTCGTTGGGAACAACACTTCTTTTTTTTTTTTTCTTTTTTTCACCCTACGGCCTGCACACACACCGACGCCGACACATTGCTCCGTTTCGAAGGGTTAACTTTCACGCATTATACATGAACAAGCTTTCGTGGTCTCAAAGAGCAATCTGAGAAATCAGAGTTGAACGTAACGGCAGTGCAAGTGCAATCGACTGCCCGTCCATTTCGTTCATCGCGTTTGTAGTAAATTTTAATACTCGAAACAGAATCATTCATGTTACACTCCGGTGATTTTCTTCAATTCTACCTCATCGAAGATACTTTTCTGTGTTACAAAAAATTCGGACGTTATATCCGTTATAAATACATCTCGTTATAAATATCGTATTAAATTATCACTCTGTGATTGTAATAATTTATCATTATTAAACATTTGTTATAATAATTTAATACAAAATTCTTTGGCCGTCGCATTTATCATAAATTTTGATCGACTCGAAACGGAATATCACGTCGCATCTCGTCCCCTGGCCTTTCTAATCTCTACGTTGCCGAAAATATCGGAAAAGGGTATTCTCGAAACGCTCGAATGAAAATTTTAACCGTTACGGTGGATTAATCAGAGAGGCTGGCGCGTTCTCGCCAGACGATTGAAATACCAGTGATAAATTTTAATTTCCATCGTGCCGCGTTACTTATACAGTCGGCACACTGTATCTCGTGTCGTCGTTTAAACTTGCCACGAAGATCGGGTTTTGGTAGGTTGCCATGGCTTTGCGGATCCGACGCCGACGTTCCTCTCTCCCTCGTCCCTTTTCTTTTTTTTCATACATTCTGTCACTGATATATCGCTCGTATCCGAATCGCGCAAACGTGATTTATGCCGCTCATTGCGCAAGAAGGATGGCCAGGGCAGGGTTTTCGAAGTGACTGCCGAACTGCGGGATTCATCTTTTAAATCAGGCCATCGAGAAAAACCTAAATTCACCAATCGCATAATGGAATATATACCACGTGCACGCGTATCCTTTTCCCTCGGGCTGAAAACGAATTACCGCCCGGTACGATCGATCCGATCGATCAGCCGAAACGAAGAACGCAAAATGACTGGATGAGGAGGCGAAAAGCTCCCTGTTGCTGGCAGACTCTCTAGCTAGAACGTAACGTTGTATATCATAAAAGCTGCTGCGTCTTCGTGCAACTGGTTTAATCTTCTCTGTTAGTGGCGTTCCTCTCTGGATCGCTTAATTGCCAAATAAATCTATCTAACTAGACAACCGGCGATAAACTAGCCGCGTAATCCCGCGTGATGCGTGTAACTGGCAATTAAATGGCAAGAGCGTAGAGGGGCAGAGGAGCAGGACGTTATTAAGCATGCAAAAAGTTCAGGTTCGCGGCGTTGCAGCGAGCGACTTTAAAAGTTTGCCAACGCGGACACCGTCGTTCGGTCATTTCTGCGAGATCCTTTTACATAACGCCGTTTTATTAATCACGAGTTACGTCTCGCGCTTGGTCGCGCGTTCAGCTTCTCCGTGAAAATCTGTCGAGGCGTACGCGAGGTGAGAAGGAGAGCGAGGGAAAAGAGCGAGGCGAAGCCGAGTAAAAATCCGAACGGCGTCGGAAAGGAATGAAGTTTAAAAGGTGAACGACGATTTCGAGGTCAAAGGCTTTGGCCAGGAGGATATCGACACACCGCGAGAGGGCTGCAGCCGATAGGGTGAAAATACGCTGTACGTTCTTGTACCGTGGATGGTAACCAAGCCCGCTGCTTCTCGGCTTTCTCGCTCGCTCGCGAAATAAAAATTTGAACAGCGTGGCCAAGGATTGAAACGGTCTCGCAAAATATCCACGCGATATTCCCTTGTCTCTGGAGACGTCCACCGGCCGCCGAAACTGCACACCATTCCCGGCATACCTGACCATCGACGTACAAAACAAACAAATTCCTTTTTCCAAGCGAGCTATGCTTCGTCGGCGATTTCATAAAGCTCGGCAGTGGAATATCTTAAATATCGTGCAACTTGTTGTCCGTCGCACGGTTATCGAGATCCTGAACTCAGCGTGAATTACAGTTGACAAACTGACACGATCCACTTGACTCGTTGTATGTATCACCACTATCGTATCGAAACGTATTCGTAAAATGATATTAAATACCGTCGCGATTCCTCAGCGCCCAAGCTAATAACCGTGTTTTATCAGCGTCGTTTCGTTTGTCCATCTCGCGAAGCGGGAGCAGAGGCTCGAGTTATTTCTTTAATAAAACGTTCCGGAATTTTTCGACGGAGGCGCAGCGTACCCGCCCCGGAGGAATATCAGTTCCTTTTTCTATCACATTTACCGGGATCAAGAACGAATTTCGCACTGTGCAGCACAGTACGAAATGGGGAAGCTCTTTTGCACGACGGTGAAAGCCAAAAACGGTAATCCGCTCGTTCCCGCTGAAGGGCCGAGAAGGTTTTTCGCGATCATGCGAAAACCCGACCTAAAGCAACCGTGGAGCACCGGAGTCTCCTCGTTTTTTCTCTTCCTTTCTTCTTTCTTTTTTTTTTTTTTTTTCTTTTACTCTCCCCCGGACAGGCGCACCCTTCGTCTTATTCGGCCCTCCTTTTATCAGACACCCCGCGAATCCGACGAAAAAAGGGACAGGGGACCCTCTCTCGGAGCAGTTGAGATATTTCACGTTGGATCGCACCGCCGCCGGTCTTCCCTTCGCCTTCCCGTATATCTTGCCTCGCGAGAACCGCTCCCGCGGCCGATTTAATTCGATCGGTCGAATGCAAATGCGGCAAACGTCCGACACGTTACGGAGCTCGTGTTACCTGTGCCCTCTTCGAGCCCGATGTATGTTCACTTCACACGCTATAACTTTCGCGTGGGACTCGACTCGAGGCGTGGTTCGAGTGGATTCTTGGCATCGCGCGCGGCGCCGTGCCCGCTTGTTATAACGCAGAATTTCCGGGATGGATTGTTAACCAGCGTTGGGAAAGAAAGGCACGAAGAAGAAATCTCGTTGAAATAACACGCGAGGAACTGAACGCTCTTGTGAAACTGAAATATCTGGCGAATGGGAACGCGCGTCCTCGGCACCTGAATCGCGCATGCTGCACGGTGGAAAATTTAAAAGTTTGCCAGGCCACGGATGGAACTGCGGAAATAAAAATTTTATGGATTATACAATACAGGTGGGGAAATTCTCCCTGCGTACTCGGCAATGCGAAAACTTTCGAAATATTCCAAGAACGCATTATCGTGTCATTTCCGAACTACAGCGGGCTCCGCGTACGTGCGGAACGCAACCGTTCCTCTTTTTTTTCATTTTATTTTTTTGATATTGAAAATCGATTATAGCCGCGAAATGTGCTCCATTTTGCTGTTTTTTTTTTTTTTTTTTGATCATCTCGATGTCCTCCCTTTCTATTTGACTAATTTAAAACAAAAAACAGTTATCTGAATGTAAAAAATAATTAAAAAAAAAAAAGTTATCCAAATGTAAAGGGAAGGGAAATGGGTATGTAACGATTAAATTACGAACGTTCGACGCAAACTTAAAATTCCAAAAATTCGCAGAACGCAGAACCGATTGAAAAATACATAAACGATATTTGGCCGATAAAACGAGCTTCCATTTCAAACTCCATTTCTGCAAAACTGCATAAACATCCGCGGTCTGGTAATAATCGGGTGTAATCGATGAAACGGTGTAGCCGTGGAAAGGTGGTCGGCTGGAATTGCAATATAACCGATCTCGTTTCGCGACAGTGACGAATCTTTCTCAGTTCCGGGGCAGCGCTGGCAGAGCTGGACAGACCCCCATGGAAAAGAGAATGAAGCTGACGTAGAGGCAGCGCAGGAAACGAAGGTTTTCGGCCGCGTTTGTTCCGGGACTGCCGCAACACGAGTTACGGATAATAACGGCGGGCTATCCAGCAGCCACCGAAGTCAAACCGCAACCCCATCAACATACGCCGCACGTACTGTTCGTGCACTTGCATACGTGCAGGTGCAGCTGCAGTTCACCCAACCTACGTACAACAGAATACCCGAACGATTCCCCTGCACGTACACA